TCCTATAATTGGCCTTATTTCAAAGTTACGTCCCCTACTCCCAAAATATGTTTTAATCTTACTTTACAACACTTTGATTTTGCCACACATTTCATACGGTTTGGAAGTATGGGGCAGTACATCTCCAACATTACTCAAGCCAATCCACATTCAACAAAAACGATTAGCACGTATTATCCTTTTCAAAGACAGATATACTCACAGCCAACCACTATTAAACTCGCTACACATCCTAAATATTTATGACCAATTTAAATCCCAACTATGCACATGTATCCATGATCTGCACTCTAATAGAATCCCTCGTAATGTGTGTGACTATTTCTCTTTCCCTGAACACAACTATAACACTAGATTTTCAACTAATTTCTCTCTTCCTAGAAAACAAACTAGCTTGGAACAATCATCTATTGACTACCAGGAAACTATACTTTGGAATAAGTTACCGTCATATTTAAAAAAAAATCACAACCGTGCCTGTTTCAAAAAAGTTTTAAAAAAATATGTAATAACTGAACGCATGATTTCTGATGATTAGCTCTGACCATTAGTTTGTATTAGGTTTTGAAACATACTCATTATAGATTTCTTATAACGTTTTATTAATCTCTGTTGCTTTTTATCATTTATGTCACAATGCCCTCGTCATATACTTTAATAAATATTTTCCAATATATTTTAGGGAAACAGACTCGACTAGCCATATTGTGCTATTTCTGTTTCCCTGCCATGGATTATTGAACGTTTATCATTATTATTATCTTACATATTTTCATAATTTACTTGTATTTATTTAATTTAATTATTTATTTATTGATTTCTTTGTAATTCTTACAATCTATGGCGAATAAATATTATTATTATTGTTCTTGGTCGTATTTTGTTTATTTGAGTCAGAGACCGTAAAAATATAAATCCAGCCGATGCATGGTCGACATAAAACCTTCGAAAAACACACGTTGGATAGCGTAAAGATTGCTATAACTTTAAAAATGAAATTCACATTTAAATAGTCTATCTCTGAAGAATCCTGCGACATGATAGCATTTATGTTTGTAAACACAGTATACAAATACTAGATACAATATGGTGCAAAAAATGATATTGACTCTGCGCAAATATTGTCATAAGTGGTTCCGCATTTGTAAATTCGAGTGGGCTGAGAGTTTTGGTGGAACAATAGTTAAAGGAGAAGAAGAAAAAAAAACATTTGCAGATGACTGCAAAATAAAAAAAAAATTGGGACAATTAAATACAAAATTATTGTGAGTGAATGCAAGTGAAATTTTAGCTATGCTCCAGAGCAAAGAAATACAATGCTTTCTTTTGTCCAGTTTAGGTTATACATTCTCTTATTCATATATTTGATTGACATTTTTGAGTGCATACAAATATAGTACAGACTAAGTCTGTATGGCAAAGGAGATGACTTTGATTTCACTATCAATTTATCTCATCCTTGTAGTAATATCACTTTCTTTCCCGCATTTCGTGTATACATGTCTCGGCCACCTTGAGCAATATGCTACCAATATGAACAGCGCCCTCATGGTCGTCCCTGTATAGTGTAACGTAAACTACTTCTGGATACTTCTGTGCACCAAGGCCAAACAATTGAACCAGCGAACGTATGCTAACCCTTTAATTTGAGAAACGTAATAGACGCATTTCTTCCAAGAGAAAGTCTTATTTATCTCTACATTCAGGCATTTTTATAGCAGTTATCATGAACTGATGACAAAGTGAGACAAATTACCCAGGCATTATCATTATATTTCAATATCCTTTGTCTTATGTAGACAGTCTCTTCATTAATTGAATATTCATATCAATATATGGTATGTGCTACAGGTAGGGTAGGATGTGATCACTTTTTTGCAAACAATTCTTGGTCTTAACCTTGGAGTTCATATATGTTTTGCACAATAATTGTTGTGAATGCCCGACATTCTACTACTTAATTTCTCCACTACTGTACACATCTACCTATGTATATCTGTGAATGACATTTGTCCGATGTTTTATGTCCGTTGTTTCTGTTGAAATCCCTATACGACTAGCTGTTTCATCGCCTCGCTCTCGTCAAAATCTGCCGAGATTGCGATGTTGAATCCTAAACGTTGGATATGGACGATATCACGGAAGTGTTAGTATTGTTGTTAGTTACTGTATACTGATATATTCATTGGATTATAATTATCTGTAGTACACACTTGAGAATATGTTCGATGAATCAATGTAATTTCCTAATGCGCATGTGCACCTGTTGCTAGGATGCGTACAACAGCAATCACTGCACATGCGTACTAGTGGTTTTGTTAGGCTGGATTCATCTAACGAATACCGTTGTATGTATTGCAAACATTACCTTTTTATTTAGTTTATGACAAATCATAATCTGAATCAGTTTACAGTGTGGAGTGAACGAACAACAGTATTACACAAATTATACAATTGTAGACAATTATTCGCTCAGTAATTTGATTTTTGAATGAACATATCCCATTGACTTGTATCCCGTAATATGGTATATTGTTTAGTATGTGCGATATTGCAGTCAAGTGGCATGATACAGTTATGGTATAACACAAGCACTATAATCAGGATGCATAATCCTATTCACTTAACATCGGCGGACTTTGATTCCTGGATCCTCGAGCACACCACAGACGGCAATAATCAGTCTGGGCTTGCAGATTTGCTTAATACCAGATCGGATTAATAAAAATCCACACACCCAATATTTCTAATACCGTAACATTTATTTGAAACTAACCCATTAAATCATAAACACAGAAAAATGAAAATATATCCCATAATAGTAATAGTATCCAATCAGGTTGAGCCTGGATGTGTGTGTATACATGTCCGAATACTCCTGCTGGTGGCAACCATCTGATTTATTCTAGTTAACCATCAAACCACTCATAGTCGAGTATACTTAATCACACCTGTAAGATACACATATTTACTAATTCAAATTTGCGAATAGACATCACTGATCGTTTATGCATGATACAGATTTTTGTTATTGTCATTACGTATCTAGTTCCCCTGGTGTTATTCAGTTTTGTGCTTCTCTTGGTTTGATTGAGTTGGTAATGTCTTGTTAGGCATTTGATTGTTGTCGATTAAGTGTAATATACTGTGCCATATTCTCTTTCTCAAAACCAATCGTTAAAGCGCGGTGGTCGTCGCGCAGCGCGTGTTCGAATTTCATGCAAATAAACAATGTATTTTACACGCGTTGTATACGTCGCTATGAGTCCCATATCGAACAGGACGCGGCACGACGACTTAAATGGTGTGGCCATCGCGCCGCACATGTACGAAATTTATGTTGATAAACATTGATTTTCCCACAATTTAAAGGGGAACCGCTCAATCCCATGGATTGCACCGAAGATTCATGGGACACTATTGTTTACAATGTTAATCTATCTTTTGTTATCCATTGTTATTTTAATCCAGAAAGTAAATTTGTTGTGAGATTAGGCTTAACTGGAAGGTGTCCCTTTAATGCATTCTAATAAAAATCCGAGGCCGAGTTTTGACCTGGGTGCAACATTCACTAATACCACCGGTGACTCCTTCGATGCCCTCCAATCACCAAAGACATTATCTAGTTAAAGCGTTTTAACGTCTCAGTTTGTACTCGTTAGTCTGCGCAACAGTCGCCATCTTTGTTTATATGAGTCTCACATCTCGCGCATGCGTGACGCGGCGACCACCGCTCTTTAATCTTAACTGTATTTGAAACGATGCTAATGGAAACTCTTACTTACGTCTTGTCCAAAACTTTCCAGCTTTCTCCAAACTCGTTAGCATCGTGTACAACAGTGCCATCGGGTTTCTGGAAGTCATTGCGGGTGTCCCCATCGGCGTTACCCAGTAACCCACACAGCTTACCCAGGTATCTGGAGCCAGTGAAATTTATATGGAAAGAATGTTTCCTTCCTACCCACTCCATTTTGAATGTCGAGTCCTTCAATGTGAAACTTAGCGTCACCATATGGCCATCGTTCTCGACATTAATGTGTTTACCTTCTCCACTCACCTACAATAAAATAAACATATGGTATTATGAGTGTATACGAATAATATAAGGTTATTACGAGGATACCTCAAAGTATGCACTAAGACAGTACAGCGGAGTACCGACCAACGCGCAGCGGAGGTCGATGCAACGGCGTACTGTCTGAGTGCATACTTCTAGGTATCCTCGTAATTACCTTATTATTATACATCTTTTTCTTTCAAGAATACATCATGGAAATATTGAAATCCAAAAAGTTGAGAACCGTATCAGCAAACTTCTTTGTGTGGAGTCTTGTCCAACTCTGGTGGCAGTCATGTTTGCTTTTATTATTAAAGGACGCTTACATGCGCAATCATCATTCCATATTTGGAATTCGCATTTCCTTATAATATGGTAGGATGAAAATAATCCGTAAAATACCACAAAATTACGACACGCTGTAACTTATGACGTTACGGTGACAGATGTATAATAAGAACATTTAATTTCCGAAGTCAATATTCTGTAATGTTCCAAAGAAGAGATTATTAACCGAGGCGCAGTCGAGGTTAATAATTTCTTTGAGGGTCAATACTGAAGTATATATGTTATTATACACGTAACATAAATTGGATTATTTCTGTAAACAATAACACACACAAAATGACCACTTGATATTCATTATTATTGACTCCAGTCTCTCAGTCAATATTGCGTTTTATTGACCACTATGTAGACGCGTTCTGTCCAATCAATGTGACGATCTTGAGAAGTATAATACCATTCATTACCTAGACTAGTCAGTTTCATTCCACTGCACGAATATACTAGTAATAAAGTAGTTTTCATATTCAAGATTGTTAAAGCGCGGTGGTCGTCGCGCAGCGCGTGTTCGAATTTCATGTAAATAAACAATGTATTTCGCTGCAACGACGTAAAATGCGGAAAATATCAGTTGCGTTTATAGCTCACAACATGCCTTCAAGGTGAAATGTACATAGAACGTTACCCAAAATGCTCGGATTTCTTGTCACGTGGACGATATGTATTTAAAATGAATAAAAGAACCGAGATGAATAGCCAGCAGTCGGGGATTACTTTTCTTACAATACCAACTAAGTTGACAATATATTCGCCACCTAGGCCACTTCAAGTATCAGTCCGCCGCCGTGGTGAGACAATTGGCCTCGGCCTTTTCTGGGGTCCTGGGGGCCGACGACGTGTTCTTAATCGAATAAACAGGTAAAGGTACTGGAAACGAATCTTATCGTCGCTAGCATCACTCGTAAATGGAGATAATAACCTCTATCCATCTTTAGAAAGTTTCTGAAGCTCCAGTTCCCAATTATGGATATAAAGTTTGTACATAGCTGATCACGTTGATATCTATCAGTTCGAACGTACCGCGTGAACAATATCATAACAAGTTTAGACGCTTCGCAATTTGTTGGAGTCTTAGTTTAGGTGTTTATCAATGAGTTATTACCCCGGTCGTTCAATAGTAGTGGTATTTTAGCATGTACGCGTGAAGGAACGAACCAGGCCCAGGGTGTGAACGAGGATATTGTTTACCGCTATCGTCGTCACTAAACTAGCAAATTCTCATGCGCGTGAGAAAGTCACGGTTACAATTTGGTTATTTTCGCTGAATCCTTAATTTCTCCACTTTCGGAGTTTATTTCTAAGCACCTTTTCAAAGCGTAGTTTCGTGTTACGTCACGCGGGAAGCGATACAGTTCGCGCCTCGTTGTCGCGCTTACAACGACGAGTCATTATTTCCCGTTTGTTTTGTTTTTAATTTTTAAATAATGATGTTGAAATCGAGTCTTCAACTTACTTGCAAACGACGATTTATCATTAATGTGTTAAATCCTGGAGCTAAGAAAACAAGGTCTATGGTTAAATCCGTGGGAAAATTCACATATTTTGCGTGGGTTTTACAAGGCATGATTTCAAGGCGACGGCCAAATTGGGACACGTTCGAAATGTACTACGTAAACTACGGCAAGTCAGACGATTTTAATTTGTAGTTGGGAATGTGGCGTCATGCAAATTTGTTTAAACGAATACGTTCGCAAAACTGATTCTTTAAAGCGCGGTGGTCGTCGCGCAGCGCGTGTTCGAATTTCATGTAAATAAACAATGTATTTGACACGCGTTGTATACGTCGCTATGAGTCCCATATCGAACAGAACGCGGCGCGACGACTGCCGCGCTTTAAGCTGGCTGAAACAATCGCTACTATAATATCAGGTAAACAGTATTTTTTTTCACAGACTGGCCATCAAAACCACAATTGTCGAAGGTAGCAACTAATCACATTGTTCCTGTTGTCTCGATCCCAAACATTTTTGTCTGGGCTCAAGACACGTACAAGGGTGTTATGATTGCATAATGACATTCGTTCTGTGTGTATCACAGGTAGTCTTTGTAATACTAGTACTTCATTTCATGTTATAATACATTACAAACATAATACGAACAGATAGACACAACAATGGATTCGAAGTCGCGAAAACGTCACGGTAAAACTGTCGGAAAGGCCTGCAGTGGATTGATGAATTATAGTTCATGAAATTGAAATAGCATTCTGTTTTGTATAAAAAAAACTCACTGGATCAGTGTTTCAGTGAATTGCGGTAATAAAATAAACACGTACAGTTACCGTATTGTCTCTGTCGACATGGACATTTTCCTCTCTTACTCGGACGTTAATATTAAGTGCTCTTGTCTTGATCTCATCTCCCGTATCTTCACGCGGTACAAATTCAGCGGTGATTTCAAATTGAGAGTCGATGCAGTCTTTGACGAGAGTGTACCAACACGTACCCTGGAAACTGTATGGGCGGCCGTCAAACGTTTTCATATGTGGATCACCAATTACATCTATTGAAATTTACAACATGTAAGAGACCATAACTTAAAGGGCGGTAGTCGTCGCGCCACGCATGCGCGTGATATATGGGTCTAATATAAACAAAATGGTGACTTTGTTACGCAGATCAACGAGTACAAACTGAGACGTTACCAAGTTTGGATTAGATGTTTTTTAGGTGATTGGAAGGTATCGAAGAAGTCATCGGCGGTTTTAGGTGCAAGTCGCGCCCAGGTCAAACCCAGGTGTTCCTTGTGAAATGAAGCAGATTGACGTGTAAACATGAGGTATGATTTGTATCGAGCGTGAGAGTGGGGTCCAGAAATTTCGGGAGTGAGTGAAGAGGTTAAATGAAATCTAACGAGGAATGTGGATCCGAGAATATTGAACGTAAAATTGGGAGAGTAAATAGTGGAATGAGGTAGATGTGGGATTTAAAGAAAGGAGAGCTAAAAGTGGAATTAAAAGGCGATGGTAGCCGCGCCACGCATGCGCGAGATATGGAACTCGTATAAACAAAGATGGCGACTTTGGCTGTTGCGCAGACCAGTCAGAACAAGCTTAGACGTTACCAAGCTTTAACTAGATAACTTCGTTGATCATTGGAGGGTGTCGAAGGAATCACCGGCGGTAATTATTGCACGTTGCACCCTGGTCAAAACTTGTACGTGCTACTCATTAGAAGAGAGCATTGGATTGTGGGAAAATCAATGTGTATCAACAATTTCTCACATGCGCGGCGCGACGACCACCGCCTTTTAATCTTGTTGTTCAGTAGAATAGACTAGAGCGGAATGGAATCAGTAAAAAAAAGTGGGAAGTGACCTTTATAAAAGGAAGAAGAAATTATAAAATACAAAACAACGATGAGTACATTAGGATTCACTACAATTACGGTTATTGGTCTTAAAGTAGGTTTATCACATTATATTGAACATATTGAAATCATTTAACAATCTTTGTTTTTTTTGTTTATAGAGTATGCCGATAACAAGTAACAACATTTATCAGTTACTTTCATGCAAATTATACCTACATTTCTCAATTCAAACGGAAAGAATTTGTTTCTATTGGCCGATTGAAACGTTTTAAGATGACGTCGTTGTGCACGTTGATTGGCTGGTTTAAATATATATTTATAAAGACGAAGTGAATGCCTTTGTTGCGCCAAGAAAACCCGCACTCGAATATATACTCTCTGGCCTGCCTCTTCATTTCAGTAAAGTTACAACAAAGTTGCAATAATAATTTAAAAATCCAATACGCTTTTTTAATGAAATCACGAGTACGAGTTTTGCCCTGGGCGCCACTTACACTAATTACCACCGGCGACTCCTTCAACACCTCCCAAAACACCCACCCAAAATACATAATTAAAGCTTGGTAACCTCTCAGTTTGTACTAGTTGGTGTGCGCAACAGTCAAAATCGCAAGTTTTGCTTATCTGAGACCCAAACCTTGAGCATGCGCGGCGCGATGACTACCGCCCTTTAACTTATATGTAAATAAAATTAATGCATGAAATGCTCTTACTTGGAGGTCCTGTAGGAGATGGGGGTGGTGGTGGTGGACCACATTTCGGGCAGTGCTTGTCAAAACCCGCCATTACAATTTGATCAGCGGTCAGTGCTCGGTCATACAACTGCATGCATGTTATATAGCCTTCAAAAAATCGGTCGTCATGGGTGACTGCGCCCATGCGCACTTCAAATTGAGTTTTCAGCTCCATAGAGCCAATAACTTTACTGGTCACGAGCACACCATTCACGTACAGGCTTTCAGTGCCGCTATCATAATCGTAAGTAGCTGCTAGCAAATTCCACGTATTCCCGTTGACAGGTGAGCTTATCAGCGAGCTGTTGTCAGAGTTTCCGTTACGCACAGGCATATACAGCGTCTGCGAATGAACACCAGCCACGAAGTCTGAATGCCATAGGAGCATTCCATAAGTGTCACTGCCGTAGTGAAAAATAGGCCCAATCTTACCAGTTGGGTATACATACGCCATCATCGTCATGGAGTACTTAGTGTCAAGTGTACCATCTTCGGAGTTGGGAAATTCGATGTAGGATTCATTGTTACCGTCAAACTTGTACGCACTGCAGAATTGACCGCGTTGTGTCAGATCCAGTACTGCTCCTGTTGCCACACCGTCGGCATGACCGCCCGATACATCTTTAAGCTTATAATCTTCGTTCAAAGGCCAAAATCCTACTGGCGTGGGCTCTGCATATTTTTTAGATATTCGTTTCTGTAAGATAAAATATTATACAATATCGAATTTCAGTAGTAGCATAATGTCAGGGCTACATCAACGCATTTGTTAGTGGGTATGAAGACATATTCAAATTATGTGCCTAACAAATAAAAATACCCAGAATGCACTGGTGACGTGGGAATAATAATCGATATATGTAAACGACAGACAAATTATTTACAAGTACGAAATCAGAAACGGAAGTGAGGACGAGCGAGGATGACCAGTTCAGAAAGACCACAACAGTAGTAATGAATTTACTTGCGCCGTCAAATTTGCTAGTATTCAGAGATTCATGAATTATATTGCCAAATATTAAGAGAAAATAACCAAACTATGAGGCATTTACAGATCCAAGAACACAAAACAAGCGACTGACAACAAGCTAACTGAAAATTACACTAGACTACAAAATATGTAGCCAATCCTACACTGCCTGCATCTATTATTTGAAGTTGTAATTCGACATCAGATAAGTGCTGTCACTTGTACGATCGCTGTCGTATTTAACCACATGCTAAAAATATTTGCCAAAAATA